TTATATTGTGTTTAATTGCTTTTGTCTTTAATTGACAGGACAGTGGGATAGAGAGAGAGCGATGGGATTTGAACCTGCGTGTTGTGAGCACTTCCCACTGGGCCACAGCTCTGGCAAGCAATGTTTTATGGTCATCCTCAGCGGTTTACACTCTTTGATTGTTTAGTCCAAGATTGCAGCTCTGAGGTAAAATTAAAATTTTCTTTGATGGTTCTGTTGATTGTTTTGAATTTAGCCGAGAGAAATATTGGTTTATATTCTACATATCAGGAAATGGTCATAATTAGTCCAAAGAAATACAGATTCATTTATTTTATTTAATTGTAGTAATGTTTTTTTTTATAATTAATTCATTCATTACATATATTTATTTATTTGCATTAATTGGTAGCAATGAAATTCCTCTGTTGTATGACATTTTAATGAATTGCAATTCAGTAGTGCTTTGTGATTATCGATAATTATTTAATCAATTAGATTGTTTCATTTATTTAGAATTTTTTCATTTATTTAGAATATATAGATTTAGCTGTTTTTTATTTTTGCAGTAATTTTGTGTTTATTGATATTTAATTAATTAGAAATATTTATTTAGAAATATAAATTCATTTATTTGAAATAAAAGTTTTGTGATTATTTATTTATGTTTTGTGATTATTAATTATTTATTTAATTATATTTATTTATTTATTGAACTAATAAAATTTTTTTGTACAACTGCTACATTTTTATGAGTTGCAATTCAGTCATTTTGTGATTATTGATATTTAAAGGAGGGTCATGAACTGAAAAATCAAATTTCCCTTGATCTTTTGACATATAACAGGTCAATGTTCTATAAAAACATCCTGTATGTTTCAAAACTCGAAATGTTCTCATTAGTTTAAAAACAGCTTTTATTGAAACCAAGCTCAGAAAACGACTCGTTTTGGAATGTGCCACTTTATGACGTAATAATGTGGCTAAGCACCGCCTCCGCAGGAGAAGATCAACGCCTGCTTCTACATCACTGCCTCTTTAGCCCCGCCCACTGATACGCGCTTGTAGTAGGAAGAGAAGAAATACTAGAGAGACACAAACACAAGATTACTCCATACAGATGACATTTCAAGAAACAGATGACATTACAAAATTACAAGACACTGTGTAGTGAAAGTTGTGAAAAATAGTCTTTGACTTGCCTTCCTTCTGATCCTAACATATCTAGATCGGACATGAGCGCTGTTGCGTCATGTTGCGAATCAATTTCTCTTTCAGGTCAGAAGCGGCGTGAATGCTTGGAATATGTCAGTAATAGAGCGGGACATCAGTTTACTGTCGGGAATTTGTTGTGACAATCCTTGCCACATCCAGTGTTGACAGAATCGTCCATTATAATGGGTACTGTTGTGTATAGTCACATTGCGCCGTCCACTCCAGATCGCATCAGTGAAACATGGTTTGATTGTTTTACTTTGCTACGGATTCATTTTTAAACAAGACAGTATGATGCAGGCTTTTCAGAGAGACTGAATGTAAACGATGATGCAGCGCTGAGTGACTAGAGTGGATCCATAAGTAATGCTGCAACACAGAAGTGTGAGGAAACGCGCTTTTACCACTATTGCATTGTCTGTTCCAGACCGTTTGAACGTTTTTAACCCAAATGATACATGTTGTTTTCAGAGTATGTCACAGCAGCGTCCATTTGTTATTTTAATAAGAGAAACTGTTAGCCAATCATCGCAGTGGGCGTTTACTTGCTCATCTTGAATGCGCCCCGCCTATAAAAACAGACTGTTCTGCAGAGAGGCCCAAAAACAGGATAGAAAATAGCCTATTTATTCTAAATTATGATGGGGTTTTTTAATGTAAAATCACTCTAACATTATAAGTGAACCGCAGAGAACATTATAAAATAATAAAAAAAGCATGACCCCTTTAATTAATTAGAAATATGTATTTATTTATTGGTTTATTTGCCGTAATTAAATTAGTCTATTATGAAGTTGTGTTTTGTCACCAAATGACATACAAAGCAGTTGGTTTTAATAAATAGCATTTATTTAGTCATGCAAAAACTTTTTCAGTTGAGAAATGTAAATTAATTTTAGTTTTACTATTTGTAAATGCAAATTATTTTTCAGTTTTGAACTCACTTTCTTGTTTTATGAGCCAAATCGTAGCTGCAGTAAACCAAACTGGGACATGATTTTACATTAAACATGCTTATTAATAAAACCTAATTGAAAAACACCAATTGAATTGGCCTATCTTTGACTCCCTGTTTGCTGTGGTTGAGCTGATGGTGACCTCTGACCTATGACTCCTAGAGTTGAAGAATTTAAATGCGCGGCACAGATGATACATTATGTGAGAGTGTATGTGTGAGAGAGAGTTAGATAAGGCAGTTATGTATAACTCTCACTCTCGCTCTCTTTTCCTCTTCAGGGCCATCAAATGTTACTGTGACATCTGATACCACTTGATTGGGCCGAGGGCTGTCTGACCCACTGCCTGTCAGCAATTACCTCACGTTAAAAAATCCCCCTCGAGTTGCAAATTCAATCAGGCAGGGCTATCATTGCCAGCCCTGTCTCCAAACTACAGAGCTGTAAACCTGATTACAGCGCCGACCTCTCTAAGAATCAGATCTCTTACCCGGTTGATCAATATCTGAATATGTCTACAGGCGGCCCTGGAACTCCAAAATGTCTTCTGGGTTCCTCAGACGGGACAATAAAGTCTTTAGATCAGTACGGGAGAGAAAAAAGAAAGCTGCAAAATGATCTAGAGCTCATGATGAACTGCAAAAGACAGGAGAACGAGTTTAGTTGATGGTTCAGAACATCTAAAGCTAGCAAATTATGGGGAAATTGTTCAATGGCTTCTAATGTTTCTTTTACAGATTTAATCGAGTAGGCCTACATGCACAACGTTCATGTAAAATGAATGATGTGTAAATGTGCGTGATTTTTTAATCTCAGGATTTCCTTGGTGTGGTGCATTTGTGGGCAGTGAATGGTCATTTTCAGCATGATGATGGAGGAAGTGGTCATAATGGTGGTCGTAAGACTCTGTGCTAAGTCACAAATGGGATTGACAGGTATTTTTATGTGTGACTGATGTCTATCATGCATTTCCTGGAAAGAGAGTGATCGGTAATGTTAATAATGCGGTAACATTTGTATGTGATAAATGGATACGTACAAAATGAATGGTGTAGAGTTTAACTATTAATGTGAGTGCATCTACACAAGTACACACACCCCTATCTATATACACCATGCTTATAGATGCTTTTCTTATGGTGTGTGTGTGTGTGTGTGTGTGTGTGTTTGATGAGTCTATGGAGTGTGTGGTCAGCGCTGGACTCAGTGGTTTGGGTTTGACCACGGTGGCTCTCAGCCGTTGGCTGTGTCTCTTCTACCTGATAAAAATGGGCATTATCATTTGTTAAGTGCCCTCTTTGCCTCTGGCCAATAACTCTTAACGCAGCCTGTGGTCACTCTGAGCGATCGGGGGGTAAAATATTCATCGCTTAGAAGTGGTGGTTTTCCTTTGGCCAGGTCTAAAGGCTTGGACTGGTTTTGTGTCTTTTAACCAGGCCTCTAAAACTCGGTCGCTGAGGGACTGGTGCAGTCAGCAGTAATGATCACTGCGCTCAGATGTAATGATCACTGCAGTCAGTGGTAATAATCACTGCAATTAAGAATATGATCACTGAAAACAATTAATGAAGTCAGATGCAATAATCACTGAATCAAAAGTAATGGTCACTGCAGTCAGAAATAATGATCATTGCTGCCAGAAGTTACTGTCAATGCAGCCAGACATAATAATAAGGAGCGGTCACTACAGTCAGACGTTATAATCACTGTGGTCAGATGTTATAATCACCGCAAGTCAAAAGTAACGGAAAACGAAACGGTATATCCTATGCAATGTTTCCTCTCAAGAAATTGATCTTGTTTTAAAGATGTTTAGATAGTTTTACTGTATAACTGTAACGAATCAGCTCATGGGAAATATGAATAATTAATCATAACTAGTTATAATTAATTATGAATATTTTAGATCCGCTGTAGATATTTACTTGACCTCTCAGGGTCAACTGTCTTGTCAATTCTAAGAACGTTAATTTCCTGGTTAAGGGAAATAACTTTCTTACTGTACAATTCTACAAAAGCTTGTAGCATAAATCTGCATGATTAAATGACTCCAGTTATTAGCAAACAATGAACAACGTCAAGTGTGATACAAGTAAGGTTTCATTAACTACATAAACACTTAAACTAGTCTAACATACACATAAACACTTAAACTGGTCTAACATACACATAAACACACACACACACACGCATACAGTTGGTATAGGAAAGGGTTAAAACCTTAACGCAGTAAAGAGAAGAGAAATAAGGAATATGAAGTTATAGAACCATTTGCATATTCAGCAGATTTACAGCCTGAAGGGAAACATCAGATTCTTAGTTCAAACACACCTTTGTAAAAAGGTGAAAATGATACCTAATGTATCAATTAATAAGACTAAGTTTGGATACTTGCAAGTCTCATCTGTCTGAAAGAGAGGTTTGATGTAATCTGAAGTTTCCAGTTGATCTTTGCTGAATTTGGGTCGATGAAAAGAACCAGTTTTGAGTCAGAGAATCTTGATGAGTGGAAAAGTCGAGGCTGAAGGCCTGGCACAAAAACTTAGGATGTCCTGGAGCATTGGAACTCACATCTTATCGAAACCTAACAGAACCACCGACTGGGCGGGTCAAATGAAGTGCGGCCTTTAAAGCCTGCAAAGATTCACGCCTCTCAAGATGGGCTTGTCCAATGAGAAAGGCCGGTATCCCAAGTGGGAGTTTTGAGATACTGGGGAGTTTTTATGACCCTTTGTGTGAGGGCATGGTAATTTGCAAATGGAACTTGAATCGAAATTACTAAAGATTCTCAGGACACTAATATATTGCCTATGTACCAACATATAATATACACGCTCGTTTCGACGCCCCGCAGGGTGATGGAGCGGCGTCCGCTCGAAGGTGCACCGCGACCAGGCAGCAGACCGGCGGTCCCCGACTTTGCGGATGAGCCAATGCCCACGGAACCCCCGGCCCCGACCTGGATGGCGGGGTGTTTCCTGCACCAGGACGGACTTTCCCCGAGCCCCAGCAGGATGGTAAAACTAGAGGGGAAACCAGTACAGGCCTTCTTGGATTCCGGCAGTTCAGTCACCCTCGTGCAACCGTCCCTGGTACGACCAAGGCCCGAGCAGAAATCCAAGTTGCCGCTGACGTGTGTGCACGGAGACACCCGCTATGTACCGGCCCGTACAGTGCGGATTTCAGCGGAGCCCGGGACCTGGGCCATCGAGGTGGGCATTGTGCCGGATCTCCCCGTACCTCTGCTCCTGGGACGGGACTGGCCGGGGTTCCAGAAGCTCCTCCTCGGAACCAGGACGCCAGGCCGTACCGCCCGGAACGGGCCACGGCGACCCCGTCGGGGACCGCCCAGCCCAAGGCCGGCCTACCTAGCGACGGACAGCGAGAGGGAGGGTGAGTGTCAGCCCGCTAATCTACCGTCTGTCTACCTTGATGTGTTTTCCCAGGTCACGACCGGGGGCTCGTTCGGAAGGGAGCAACGCGAGGACGACCGCCTGCGGAACTGCTGGGATCAAGTGCGCCGCATTGATGAGGTAGACAGGCTCCCGGGCCCCCACCCCCTCCCTCATTTTGAAATACGAAATGGTCTGCTGTACTGTGTCGCCCACAGGCGGGGGGAGGACAAATTCCACTCATTCCACTACCCGTCATCGATGTGCCCTTCGAGCGGATCGGAATGGATCTGGTGGGACCGCTGCCGAAGTCTGCCCGGGGACATGAGCACATCCTGGTCATCCTGGACTATGCCACCCGGTACCCGGAAGCCATTCCACTTCGAGCGGCCAACGCCAAGAACATTGCCCGCGAACTGTTTCTGCTGGCCAGCCGCGTCGGGATCCCAAAGGAAATCCTGACTGACCAGGGTACCCCCTTCATGTCCCGGAACCGCAGCTGTCGGCGACCCAGAAAGCGGAACTCGAGGCCCTGGTCAGTCAGTTCCAGGATGTGTTCAGTGAGACCCCGGGTAGAACCACCGTCATCGAACACGAGGTCCGCACACCACCAGGAGTCGTGGTCCGGCAGCGGGCCTACCGGATACCGGAAGCTCGCCGGCCGCACGTGTGATCAGTGTGTGGGAAATAAATCACCCTCCGGGGCTCTTTCGATCAGTACCGAGTCTGTGTTCTCATTCACCCCGCGACACAATGTAAAATAGTCAGTTAAAAAAAGCTGTGTCTGTGAGAAGTAACAGTCGTTCCAGTCAGATGTAATAATCTCTACAGTTAGAAAGTAAAGGTCACTGCAGTTAGAAGTAATAATCACTGCAATCAGAAGGAACAATCACTTCAGTCAGATGTAATGATTGTGACTGTCAGATGTTCTAATCATGGCTGTCATAAGTAACGGTCACTGCAGTCAGATGTTATAATCATTCACTGCAGTCAAAAGTGATGGTCACTGCAGTCAGATGTTATGATTACGGCAGTCAGAAGTAACAGTCACTGCAGTCGGATGTTATAATCACTGGTAACGGTCACTGCAGTCAGATATTATAATCACTGTGGTCAGATGTTATAATTACTGCAGTCAGAAGTAACGGTCACTGCAGTCAGATATTATAATCACTGTGGTCAGATGTTATAATTACTGCAGTCAGAAGTTATAATCACTGTGGTCAGATGTTATAATCACTGCAGTCAGAAGTAAAGGTCACTGCAGTCAGACGTTATAATCACTATGGTCAGATGTTATAATCACTGCAGTCAGAAGGAACGGTCACTGCAGTCAGATGTTATAATCACTGTGGTCAGATGTTATAATCACTGCAGTCAGAAGGAACGGTCACTGCAGTCAGATGTTATAATCACTCACTGCAGTCAAAAGTGACGTCACTGCGGTCAGATGTTATAATCACTGCAGTCAGAAGTAACAGTCACTGCAGTCAGACGTTATAATCACTGCAGTCAGATGTTATAATCACTGTGGTCAGATGTTATAATCACTGCAGTCA